CCTGTACCGGCCGCATGGACTGCGGGCAATGGGCGAGATCGCACAGGCCCGCAAGGACCTCGACTTCATGCCGGACGCATTAAAGATTATTCCGGGGGTGGTGGAAGAGATGCAAGAGCAAGATCAAGACCAGATGGAGATAGACTCGCGGAATGGGCGCGGCTCGACCCAGGACGACACCCTTGCGGCATGTGTACAATGTCTCCTGCAATGTTTCAACCCCACCGCCGGTTCGGGTGAAGGTCGGTCCCCTAAAGCCCCTAAAGCCCCTAAAGCCCCTAAATTCCACCCCGAATTGTGGGAACCCCCTAGCGTCATACCTTGCTAACACTAACCACAGCGCTGGGAAAGTACGTGGAACAGATGACTGGTCCACTGGCCCAAGTGGTCCAACAGGGTGGACGACAGGTCGTCAGCACGGTCTACGATGAGCTCCGGGCGTTCTTTGCGCGAGTGGATCTGTGGATCGTCTCACCGGAGGCATCCGGTAACCAGATGGCAGCACCCTTGACTGCTCTCGCGGACAAGATTCTCACGGGGGAAGTAGACGGGTCTGTCGAGGCCATCCGTAAGGGTCGTGCAGAAGCGATTCTGGCGTACCGGAAACTGAGTCCGCATGCCCAAGCGGGTGTGCCTGACACGCTTCTCGTTTGTGTTCGTCAGTGGAGAGCCAGCGAGCGATCCGGACCAGTGCAACGGCTCCTGGACGAGGTCCTGGCGTTCCCGAATTAAGATTCCCACGTGGTTTTTTCATTGTCTTCCAAGGTTATTTACCAGTCGATCATGAAAGATGCTTATTTCTTATTTTTTTCGTACAAGGATTCGATACGAGGGCCAACATAGGAATCGCGCCAATAGAAGTCCGCCTAGGTGCAGCACTGGGTAAGTTGGATTGAGTTGGATTGTCGCGAGTGGTCTCAAGTCTGCGCCACTCGCTTAATTCCCGGCCAAGTCCGTTTAGAATGCGGAGAGTCCCAAAATGTCTAAAAGTCATCGCGACTTGTCCCAAAGAGGCCCAACTGGTCCGAGAATGGGCCAAAGTGTGATCTCTTCGATTTCCCACGCTCCCTCAATGCGATCCAGACCGGGGGTCGCGGCCGATCGAGACTTGCTCGTTGTTTTCCTTCCTTTTCCCCCCAGAGCTCGTAAGTAGCTACCTAATTGAGCCCATTCCTCGGCTCCGATAAAAAAAAAGGGAGGTTTCTCGTTCGACGTGGCTTCAGCCAGCCCCTTGGGCACTTCCCGAGGTTGTCTCTTCCCTGGCCATCCTATCTCTGCCCTAGTTCCTCTAGTTCCCCTAGTTCCCCTTAGTCCGTAATAGCTTTGGGTAATTCCATATTAATAGCAACGTTCGACTTTCGCCTGTCCACATGGTTGGCATCTGCATGCCATTCGGTTTTGACTTTTTTTCCTTTCTTTTTCGCGTTTTTTCCTTGTTTTTTGGCTTTTGGTTCGATCGTTTTCCCCTGCGTTTTCTGTTCCCCTTAGCTCTCTGGTCTTCCCTGATTCCCACATAATTCACCTGTAGAATAATGGAATAATGCGCTAATCCAATTATTTCAGCATTATTTATATATTTTTCTCTGTTTTTCCCCATTGGATTTCCCTTTATTCCCGCCACCCGTCCAAATACCTGCGCCCATAAACGGCATTTTCCATACATCTAGCCTTTCTCTTCCCTTTCGATCTTATTATAACCTCTTGTTTCCTTTATCTTTGATTCGCCCTATTCTTCTCATTCTCTAGCTTTCTCTCTTTCATCTTTGACAATTGAATTGATATACCGTACGTCCCCTAAGTCTCCCAATTCAGCCCGTACTTACAACTGATCCTAGCAGCCTCATGACGGCCAGTCTGGTCATGCAACACAGACGGAGCAAAGTCTCTGGGAAACCTCCTTTGCGATTACCCATCATTGCCCCCAAGGAAGATCTCTTCGATGCCTTTGCCAAGTCCGAAAAGGTCTTGATCGCTCCACCGCGCATCCGCTTGCCTCCACGATCTCGTACCGGTTGTTGGTAAGTGATCGTCTTGATCGTCTTGATCGTCTCTATATTTGACTCAACCGGGAATCCAAGCTTATTTATTTTAGGACATGTCGAGTGAGTCTCTTTTTGTTTTGTTTTTTTAATTCAAAAAGGAAGCAGTTAACTAATTCGTCTGTTTTTCTTCGTTTTCAGAGTCGAAAGGGTAAGTGACTTGGACAACTTGCACAGGTGTCTCCGATTTCGTTGCTGACTCACATTCTTCAGTCAAATGTGATGAAGGACACCCGCAATGTAATGTATGCATTCTTTCACGCTTGGCTAAAATCCACATTTACTCATGCTCTTGACAGCAATGTACTCGGCTGGGCCATACTTGCGATTATCGCCCGCGCCTGGCTTTTCGCGATGATACCCCTCGTATCATGGGCCGCATGGCCGATGTCAAGACGGACGGCCATGTCGTTTGGGATCGTAAGTACCTTTTTTTATGTTTTTTTTTTTCTAGTCCATACTAACTAGAGTAGTCACTTCGCCGTGTTCCAATGATGAGAGAACCGATTATTTCTCTTCCAGGGATTCCCTTCCGCCCTTTTACCTGCTCACTTCCGACGAAGAGCGGGAAAAGAAAGCAGAAGCCTTTAGTCCCGGCACGTACCATGTCGTGATGACACCAGACAGTTTTTCCGCGCTGCCAGAGTATGCAGACGATGCAATCGAGCGAGCTAGATCAAATCCCACCAGCGAGTGTAGGAGCTCTGCGGCTAGTAGCCCCACGAGCACGGCCAAGGGCGACGTGAGAGACGAAGATCCCAATGTGGTCATTTTGAAGACTTTTGAAGATGGCACTCGCCGCTCGCCGTTTAACGGGAAGACCTTGAAGATCTCTCCAACCTCAGAGATCTCGGATCCTTTCTGCAATCTGTCGCTCTCTCCAAATTTCACTTCTCTTCCTTCGCCGGATGTGAAGGTGGAGGAGATGACTTTCTTGGACCTGCGCCTGGACCAGCAAAGCCAGGATTCTACTATCTTTTCCCATTTCCGTCATGTCGTATGGCGGCAGTTGTTCCCTCGCGACCATAGGCTTGATGATTCTTGCGGATCGGATAGTCACTTTATGACTCTCAGCATGGACTTCCTAGAGCAGGAAGCCACTCGTTTCCCTCCTGTGGGTATTGCATTCTTGTTCTCAATGATGCCTGCTAACAGGAAGAATAGCTTTCCCACGCTATGATGGCTGTATCAGCCCTTAGTCTCTCGCACAGCGGCACGGGTCACAATGTCGATGCGCTACAATATTATCAGCAAGCTTTCCCCTCGCTCCAGGTCAGTATACGGAACAACGATGACCTGGTTTCCGACGGACTGTTCCTTACGCACTTCCTGCTCCTGATCTACGAGGTAAGCGGTTGCAATTGCAATTTCTCAGTCTACATACTTACAATCCCCAGATCGCAGCCGCCGAGCCACACGGCTCGAATCTATGGTCTCACCATATCTCTCGTCTCCTTCACATCGCCTTCCTTCGACGGGCCAAGTATGGCCAAGAGCCCCATCCATTTATCCTCTGGTGGGTATGCCACATTGACTTGTACGCCCTGTTCAGCGGAGCAGGGACGGGAGAGTTTGTACGAGCCGTCATCGACCACCAGATGCTCCCTGGGTCTGAATGTCTTCTCTACCCTTCCGCCCCAGAGGGCTACAGTGTGATCTACTCCGACGAGCATGAGAGCTTACCGGTGATCATGCGTCTGTACCACGACACATTCCGGCTAGCTGCTCAACTTGGGTTCTTGGCTGCTCGGCTTCGTCATGATAAGCAGAGCCTGCCCTTTGCGGAGTTCGATAAGAGATCGCAGGAATTAAGAGATCTGCGTCAGGCTTTCGGGAGACTGTGGGAATCCCCCGATGTTGCCTTCCTACACCAACACCAGGACAACCTCCCGCGGCGATCTCGGGAAATCATCCAGCAGGTCAGTTCTTTCTACTTTTTGCGTTTATTCAAAGGAAGAAAAAACTAACTCCTTCTAGTCTGCTACATTGTACCATGTTTGTCAACTCTTCTCCTACAGCAGCATGTGGCCCGGACAACGCGTCGAGTCCGAGTTCTCCGCAGACGCAGAAATCGACCACCACGTAACAGAGATCCTGCGCATGGCCGAACGGACTACTCACACTCGACGTGCTGATCGACACTTCCTAGTCTTCCCCTTGTTCCTAGCGGGTGCTACGGCATCGGCTAGTGGATTGAAGATGATGGCGATGGAATTGATGACTAGCATGGAAGACGAGGAAGACGGCATGGGCCGCAATGCAGCAACGACTCGTGCCATCCTCCAGATTGTCTATGAGCGGCAGTTGGAGCGACTCATGCATGTGGGTCATACATTGGATGTGGATTGGTCTGACCTCATGGCTCAGGAGGGACTTCAGATGGTTAATTTCGGGTTTTGATTGGACAGTGGAGTTTTCTTTTGTTTTTATTTTTTTGCTTTTTTACAGAGCATTGGCGCTTACTAGGGCATATTCGCTTTTTGGGGGGACTATCAGGGTTGTATGTTAGCATGATTGATGATGGATATGGACTGTATGTATATAAACGAACATGTGGAATCTGATATTCCGTTCTTCCATGGAACTGCTCGGGCCGAGCCATAGATTAGAATGTATGGGAACTGGATGTCAATAGATCTCTGCCTCGATTTCTGCGTACTACATCCCTGTAGCAGGCCACAAGGCAGCAACTTGTGATAATTCTCATCACCTGCGGGGTCGGCGTCTCGCCAACTTGGCGGCTACAGATAATCTCCCTGATCCTCTCCTTTTCTTTTTCTGTTCTCCTCTTACTCTCGGACAATTCCTATGAATAGATGAAATAGTTTTCCCACCCCGCATCTACCACCCGTTCCCAACGATCTTCGCGCTTATCTCCGTAATTGGGAGTACCTCGCATCCTGCGGTGGCTGAATTCTGTCTTCTACAGCTTCAAGCCCAGCCGCAATTTACCACGGCACCATGAGTGGCAGCCGTGCCCTCCATCCGGAGGAGCTTTTCCTCGACCGCCCAGCCAGACAAGAGTCACCCACTGTCGGCCCTCTACGTATCAACAAACGGGACTCATCATCCCCAGCATCGGCCGCGGGCTCCAGTCCCCCACCAAACGCCCCGCTACCCTACCCGGACGAGCGTCAACGTCCGCAGATGCGCCCCTCAAGTTCAAACGAGCGCTATCACGACAACATCAGATACGGGTCTCCGCCAGCTGGTCCTGGCACCGGCTCGGGCTCCGTGAGTCCAAACGAATACCCAACATCGCTGCGACCGCGGGACGGTCGCGAGCCCCGAGTCGCAACACTCGCCGAAAGAAGAGGCGCAGCCCCAAAGCCGCTGCCCGAATCTCCCAGCTACGATGCGCCAGACCGCGAAGCCCTAGCCGCGAGACCGTACCCCCGACCCCCGGCCAGTCAACAACAACCACCCGGCCCACCAGAGCCACCAGCAAACACAAGCCAGTATGATTACCGTCAACAATACTACCCGCCCCCTCAGCGCCAAAGCTCTACGTCTATAGCCCGTCCCCCGTCCAGTCTCCAGGCCGCACAAGGCCCGCTCAATCGCATCAGTTCTACCTCGACAACCCGCGCCCAGCGTGGCTCGCCCCCGCCGCCGGAGACTCCTATCGTCGGACCGGGCCAGCAGCCAACCTCGGATATCGAGGCCCGCTATGCCGCGGCTGGAATTGCGGGCACCGGGACTCTGCAGGGTATCCAGTCGTCGCATAGCGTCGCTGCACAGAGACGAGCAGAGCAGTACTCGGGACAGCAGCCGATTGTCCCACAGCAGCAGCAGCAGCAGCGCCCGTGGACTCCGACTGAGCAGCCGGGTTCGAACCCTCATGGGCCGCCTACGGTTTATCAGGGTGGTGAGGTCGTCAATGATGATCATCAGCCGTCTGCTAGCCATCCGGGTCAATATAGTAGTCCGCCGCCTCAGGCGCATCCTGGCCAATACGGTACCCCACAACCCCAGGTTCATCCGGGTCAATATAGCAGCCCGCAACCCCAGGCTCATCCAGGACAATATAGCAGCCCACCGCCTCAGATACCAGGGTCATACGGCGGATCACCATCCCAAATACACCCTGCATCTGGGCTACAGCAACAGCAGCAAGAACAGCCGGGAAGGGTTCCCCCGAACGCTTTGGAACAAGACATGGACCGGATGCGCCTTAGCTCCTCTCCCCCTCCCGCCTACTCGAGTGTATCCGGTCCTTCTGCTTCGAATAGGTATCCCGCTGAAAAGCGAAGCAGTGCTGCAGCGGCGGCAGCAACAGCAGCAACAGCAGCAGCAGGAGCCGCAATAATGCACCCGGCCTTAGTAAACCAGCCCAACCCTGCTACAAAAGCCTCTTCCCCTGCACCGGCAGTGTCGCCGCAGGACCATCCCGCTTTTGCGAATGACCAGAGACAGCAACAGCAAACAGGACAGGAACAATCCCCTCAGGCGTCTGTTGCTAATGACTTGTCCGGTTTCCATCATCAGACAGTCCAGGTGACTTCTCCAGGGCCCTCTGGCGCAGGTCCAGCATCTCCACCACCTCTTCCGGAAGGGTGGATTGCCCACATGGATCCCAGCTCGGGGCAGTATTACTACATCCACTTGCCCACACAGTCAACTCAGTGGGAGTTCCCGAAGGGCCCTACGCCGCTTAATCTCAACGATACGCCCTTGTCCCCAGTGGGAAGTGTGTATACCGCCCACCCGCTAGTTTCTCCGGGTCTGTCAGCTTTCGGGAAGCCTCTAGCATCGCCGGGTGTGCCTCTGACCCCTGGCTTCGAAAGCCTGCAGTCTCCCATAATGTCTGGATTCTCTGGGCCTCCTCCGAGTAGTGGCATGGATCTTTACAAAAACGCTCCAACCAACGGTGTCTACTTCGGTCCTTATCTGCGTTACACCAACATGGATCTCGAACGTGGAGTCTGGTTGGGATCTATCCTGCTTGTGACAGATGCCGCGCAGCCACCCACAATCCACATGCATCAGAGTCTAGACCTGTCTCCAAATCCGAGACAGTTGAAGGCAATCAACATTGCCGCCCATCAACGCTGGACATTCTACAAGTATGAGATTGACTTGCAGATGGACGATGCGGGTCCTGCTAAATGGACATACGCCATCACCTCACACCTTGGTTGCACTCGCTACGAGTTTCTTGTCGCTGGTCGATACGAAACCAACTGGCGGTTCATTGCTACCTCTGGAAATGACTTCTCGCTCAATGTTAATGCTGGTGAGCGGGCTCGTCTGGGTGGCGTCGGTTACATGTGGAGGGATATCATGCAAAAGCACAATGAGATCGGAGGCTTCCACGCCCAGTTATGTCTGGGTGGTCAGATCTATGCGGATCGCATGTGGAAAGAGATTCCGTCTCTCAAGCAGTGGTTGACCATCAGCGGGAAAGAGGCTAGAAAGAACGCGCCTTGGACAGCGGCTAACGAGCAGGATGTTTCTTACGCGTACTTCCATTACTACACCAGCCACTTCGATCAACCCCACATAAGGGAGTCATTTGCGCAGATTCCTTATGTCTGCCAGATCGATGATCATGACATGTGAGTCCCCATACAATAACAGTCTACGAGCAGCACTGACATACCCACAGCTTCGATGGATTCGGCTCGTATCCCGAGCACATGCAGTTCTCGAACATGTTCAAGAACATCGGCCGCATCGGTATCGAGATGTATCTCCTCTTCCAGCATCACACAACTCTCGACATCCTCCGTAACGTCAGCAACGACATGGACCTCTTCACTATAACCGGCACAGGCTGGCACTTTGTTAAATACCTCGGTCCCGGCGTCGTCGTCGTCGGACCAGATTGCCGATCAGAACGAAACCCACACCAAGTCATGGCCGGTCCCACGTACCAGGGTCTGTTCCCGAAGGTTGCAATGCTACCACCCAGCGTACAGCACTGTATCTGGATGATCGCCGTGCCCCTCATCTACCCCCGCCTAGAGACAGCAGAACACATCGTCCAGACCGTCGCAACAGGAAAGCGAGCCGTGACCGGCGCATACAACGTACTAGGCAAGGTAACCAGCTCAGTAGCCGGGGTGGTCGGCGCCAAGGAGTTCGTCGGCTCAGGCTTTGACTCGGTAAAGAGAGCCGTAGGTAAATCCGGACTGATGGGTGGTATATTGAGTCCATTTGGCGAATTCAACTCGATGGACGAGCTACGCGACCAATGGACACACGAGTCGAAGGTTTGTCCCTTTTCCAATGAATCACAAAACATCCACCCTCAAGCCATACATACATACTAACCCAACCCAGGACCTCGAACGCACATATCTCATCCGTACACTCCAAGGCATCGCGCACCAAAAATCAATCCGTATGACCTTCCTCTCCGGCGCCGTCAACGTCTGCGGCGCAGGTCTCGTCCACGACCCCTCAAACCCATCCGACCACAAGACAATGTACCAACTCATCGCCTCGCCCGTCGTCAACACCCCGCCGCCCTCGTACATCATCAAGCTCCTGCACAGCCACAGCAAGCCCCTCTACATCCCCGCCAACGGCCACAGATCCTCCGGCCAGGTGAGCGACACCAAGGAAGACATGATGGAGATCTTCCAGACGGACGTCAACGGCCAGCCTCGTGAGTACCGCAAGCTCATGGCACGTCGGAACTACGTCGCTATTGTCGCTTATGACCCTGAGGCGGTTAATCCTTCATATGGCCATGTCCCGCCTGCCGCGGTCGGTAAATTGAGTCTGGCGGCGGACTTTATGGTTCAGGGTGAAGGGGCGCTTGGGAACGTGGTTAAATTTGGGCCGGTTATTGTGCCGTCTTTGGATCATGGGCGGTGATGAGGTTTGAAGGTTGAGTATTTTTATATATGTATTGAGGGACTATTTTTTTTTCTTGCACAGCATTCTTGTTGCTCTTCTTTTGTCTGATGGGTTTCATTTGTCCTTTTTGGCGTGTTTGTATATCTGCTGCTTTTCTTCTCTGTCCTAGCATGAGTTATGCGCCCTAGTTTTATGTTCATGCCCTGTTGATATTGAGATAATTATACCGCTGTTCTGATTTGATAAAGGCTCCACTTGCGATTGTTCTGAAGTAATCTTAGAAATAGGTGATATATATCAGAGAAAGAAAGGAGTTTCTCGTAAAGCAAGGTACCTGATAATGTACAGTATGGGGTATATCAATAGTAAAAAAGCAACCAACGCCAGCATCCAACAGAATAAATAGATATACTACTTTATCCAGTTGGATCTCCCCCTGGAACACAAAGACCAATGCGCCAAAAATAATCCCGATGAGCGTAAAAAAGCTCCCAAATCCGATACCTCGCCGGTATAAGAGACCAATCCCATCGGAGAGGCGATAATCTATCCTCGCGACCAGGAAGATCTGAACACGCACGTTCCAAGACTGCCTGTTCCTCAGACATACCACCACCGCTCGACCGACACCCCTCGCTACTAGAACCAACCAACCCAACAGGAACATTCAAATCCCGATACAACTTGACCAAAACCCTCTCATTTCCATCACCGGCAATACACCCAGGATCCTCCCGACCAACACAATAAACCACATCCTCCCGACGCGGCGGCAGCTCCTCCCTCGTAATAAAAACCTCCCCAGCATGAGGCCGATATCCCCACTCCGCAAGCGGCAGCATAGGAACCGGATCCCCAACATGTGTCACACGACGAAAACGCATCCCCCCTTCAAGCGGGGGTATCGCTATCCCATCCCCGAGTCCGAATTGCTCGTCTAGGAATGCCGCGAACGCCTCGTTCCCGACCATCGGCTCCCCAAACGTCGTCACCGTTGCATCCCAGCCCTTTAGACGCATCTCGAGGCCTGCTAGCGCTGCGACAGCGCCGCCGAGGGAATGGCCGACGAGCGTTATGGCGTAATCTGGGTGTTTTTTGTGTAGGAGGGAGAGCTGGGGGAGGATTGTTGTTCGGGTCTGGAGCCATGAGAGCATGAAGCCGGCGTGGACGGTGCAGTTTTCGCAGTGCTGTCCTGTGGGAATTGGGATGGTAGTGGTATTTTCTTCGGGGTCAGGGTAGGGGACGTAAGCTTGGGGGTAGGCGGATAGGTCGATTATGGTGTTTGTTATTGAGTAGGTGCCGCGGAAGGCGAGGATTATTTGTTTGGCGGAGGGGGTGTGGGAAAGGGCCATGTAGCCGCATGAATCGGAGAGGAGGAGGCCGGTGTTCCAGGTCTACGGGATCGTTGGATTAGGTTAGTGGGTGTGTCTTTTAGAGTTGACTAGGGATATGACTCACGGTTACCAGTTCTAGATCAGGAAACTCATCGCAGCGGCTGAGGCACTGAAATGGCTGCTGTACTCCCGTTGTTCCAACGCAGTATGAAATATCCACTAGCCGGGATAACTCCTCCAGGGAGTTGAATAGGTCGTTTGAGACATGGTTCGTCTTGTTTTGGGCTGAGACGAAGCTCAGGAAACAGATATATAGTAGCAAAGGAAGGAGTAAAATGCTAGCCATGGCTTAACATACTGAATTTGGTAGGAGGGAGGGTATAAATCCATCTTTAAAGGAAGAGAGCATGACCGCGTGATGTGGAGAGGTGACCAGAATCCGGGGTAACTCTATTATGTCATCGATTTCCTCATTGGTCGGTTTATGTCGATCAATCTTGGAAGGTACGACCGGGGAGCACAACATACAGTCTACAGACATAGATCTACAACTACGTGTATGTCACGAGAGACTAGAATGTACTCGAAAAATTCTATCCAATACTATATAACCATACTTACCATGGACTGAGGTCAGCATTCAAACGTAGTTCAAATCAGACGGTCCAAATGACAACACGGCCGTCGACACCGCTCGCTATAATAATATGTTAGTCTCGTACATCTCAAGTTTTCAGGACGGTGATCTTACTGCTGAAGGTGCTCACAACCCCGCCGGCTTCTTCGTGGACCCGGATGGTGTGCACAGTGTTCTGGTGTGTGGACTTGAGCTTGGTGTCCGCCTGGGCCTGGCCCTTGAGATCCATCTGCCGGAACATGTTCAAAGCAGACTCCTCGCGGGCACCTCCGGATTCTCTAGCCTTATTCTCCAGAGAGCCAGCAAGTTGCCATCCATTCTCGTCGCCGTGGAAACGGAAGGGCTCACAGTCCTAGGTACGGTTAGCGCAAGTCGTATTACTGAAAAGGAATGACTTACATGTCCAGCTGCAATGATCTCAGTCTCGCCGTTCCAAATAAGACTGTTAAGCGGCAGCAACCGGGTAGCGATGTTCAACATCGCCCGCGGGGGCTGCTCTGGAGCGCTCGGGTACACGATAGTCACACTGCTATCGTGTCCAGTGAAGGCCAGCGCATTACCACTAGGAGAGAAGGCAACACCCTGAATCCAACCAGCAGTATCGTTTAGATATTCGCCACAGATGGTGTTGAAAGGAAGACGCTCTCCCCACGCACTGGGCTCTGGGCGGGTATCAATGCCCTTGATGAAGCTCGAGAAGACTCGGGCGTGAGAATCGGTCGATCCGGCTGCCAGCAGGACGGAGTTCGGGTGCCATGCCAGGGTTGTGATCGTGCTGCGAATAGGCTTCTTGATGTGCTTCGAGATCCACCAGTCGTTCTCCTCCTCAAAGTAGCAGACTGCAATCACTCGAGCGCCGGAGCCGACGGCGAACTTCTGCTCCGATGGAGACCAGCGCACAAAGGTTGCGGCACGGTTGATTCGGAGAAGAACCAGGGTAGGCTTCCATCCAGTAGGGGTCTGCTCCCAAACGTAGGCATTGCGGTCTATACAACCGTTAGGTATTGTATATAGTATAGTAAAAGGAGGTTGGCCAAAACATACCCTGTGAGCAAGTGACAATTCGGCCACTGTTGGGAGCGATATCAACGCTGGTGACAGTCTTCTCGTGGCCCTTGAGCTCATCGCTCAGCGCGAACTTGTCGCCTGATTGTTGATACAGTTCCACATTGTTCTCCCGAGCGACAGCAAGTGTCTTCTTATCGGATGAGAACGAGTGGTCTGCAATTGGTGCGTGGAAGAGATGGTGAACCTGAGGAGCGGTCATATTGATAATAACGACAGGAGGATCTCTCTACCGTCGTGCTTGTGTACTTGATTGTTGTAGTTGCGGGATCAGGAGGGGAGCTGGGGGATGACGGTGCTTAGTAAGTGGGTACATCACATGACCCCAAGCTACTTTTATGTCGAGGTTTTGAGTGGTAATGGACACCACACGCGATTGAGCTTTGTTTTCCCATACGCAATCTCATTTGCTCCTTCAGTCAAACGGCAGAATCTCTCCCATTTCTAATCATCCAAGAAATGGCTTCAAAATCACAGCCCGCCCGTGGAGGCGCTGACAGCAAGGCTGTCGCTACTGGCGCTCCTAACCAGACGTGAGCTTGCCCTTCCAAGCACAGGAGATTGTCGCGGATTGGCGCTAACAATTTTTAGACTCTACTGCACAAATTTGCCCGACAGAAGAATTCAGAAACAGGATCTCCGAACCGCACTCTATGCCTTGTTCTCCACATACGGCACCGTTCTCGATGTTGTTTGCATGAAGACCAACAAAATGCGAGGCCAAGCCCATATTGTGTTCAGGGATGTCCAAGCTAGTACGCAGGCACTCCGGGCTTTACAAGGATTCGATTTTTTCGGCAAACAGATGGTATGTTTTCATTGCGCTTCGGTCATCGCAACCCCCCGCTCAATCAATGGATGTCTAGAAAATCGTGTACGGCAAGGGATCATCGAATGTCATTTCCAAACTTCGGGGCACATACGTCGCGCCAGTTGAGACTGCGCCAGCCCCCGTCACGACCGACCTCCAGAAGTCTATCTTCGGTGCTCCTCCCGGTGCACTCCCTCCACGACCCACAACCGATACCAATGGAGAGGGCCATGGCGTGAAGCGACCGCGTGAAGAGGAAAGCGACAACGAAGAAGCCCCGATGGACGAAGACAGCGACGTGCCTATGGACGCGTCCTCCGATGAGGAGTAATCTAATGAATAAGACCCTACTGGGGACCAAGAAAGACTTGGAGTCTTCGATTTGCATTTTGATTTTTTTTATTCCCCAGCGTTTCCAGCATATGCAAGATTATTGGCTGGTACTGCTAAGCAAAAAGCTCGCGTGGAACGTGCAGGTTCACGCAATGACCAACGAGGCCAAGCCAAATGAGGAGATATGACCCGGGAGTGACGCTCTGTGCGTCTGCAATGTTCGCCATGGCATCCGCGGTGTTGCATGGGTGGACGAAAAATGTCGGGGCGCCAGATCCAGGATGGTACTACAAGAAAAAAATAACAAAAAAGACATGAGCTCTTGTCACGAGGTTCGGAGAATGCACCTACACCCATACTAATCCCACCCATTACACCCACACTCTTCAATTCTTGCCTGTATCGTTCCGGCACGACATACTGGTAGACTTCTTCTAGTCCGAGTGGGCCGTGGTTGTGCCACCTGAGGCCGAAGTACAAGACGGGGACTTGATATGTGGGGGACAACAAGATGTCATAATCGATCTGTAAGCTGGGATGGGGTTTGGCGCGAACGAGAGCTTCCTGCGGTGAAGAGTCAGGACAAGTGGACACGTCCTTTGGGGGGCTAGAATTCTGCAGACCGGATCCTCGTCCTGTGATTCTTCGAGGTTCTCCAGGGCTGAGGGTTCTAGCGGCTCTTCTAGCGGGTTGGGCACATTGACACATTTTGTTATTCTGAGGCCGATTCCCTCTGGCTAGTTTCATCCAAACCATATTTCCCATCAGTTCTTCCATTCTTATTTCGTATATAAAACAAGGGCCAAATAAGGTTTAGATGGTTCATGCATCAGAAAAAGGGATACCTTTGTGAGCAGTCGAATGGCGGACCAGCCAATATTTTGGGCTGCAATGCATCGATCGGCAAGATCTTGACATGCCACCTCAAACTCCGACTGCGCCAGGAAGGGGAACGTAGAGCAAGATGCGGCCATGCGGCTGAAGCTGGGGAGAGTGCTGTCAGCTACTCCGTACCAGCGCCGGATGCAGATGCTCAGCTGTGAATGCGGTGTGGTCAGGGTAGGGATTTCGCAAGAGTAAAAGCCCTTGATCCCACTGTTACTGTATATCAAATCAAAGATAGAGGAGAAGACATCCGATATTGGAAAAGATGAGAGGAAAAGGAGAGACGATTGCGGCAGACTGGCTATAGAAAGAGAAGAAAGCAACAATGGAGTTGTTGGGATACTACGTGTGCAATGAGGTACCTGGTACTTTCATAATGTATTGCCTCTACATACTAAGCTCACGTACTAGATACATCCTTCTCTCCCGGTTCCGGCAGAAGAGGTACCTGTCCCGCGTGGAGATGTTCCTTGTCCTCTGCATTCCTCTGCATGCAGCTTCATCTGATGCAAAGGCGCGTATACAAGTCTTTTAGTGGCGAAAAAAAAGAATGCTTGCGTCTTCTTTTGTTTCTAGCGTTTAGTTGCATATACACTTCGTTTGTCTGATTCTCTCCCCACCTTCTTATGTATCGTGGTCCCCCCAGTGACACTATCCTGCCCAATTTCTATTCCCACTATTCTCTTTTTTTGTGAATTTTTCTTATTTTTTTTATTTCTGTTCTTTGCAAATTGTCTGTCTATAATCTTAATGTTGATCCGATCGTGTATCTGCTGATTCCGATCTACGCCTGGGCACCTGGTCTGACCTCCCCGGCAGCTGAGATTGTGAACGCCTCAAATCCTGCTTTGGATAAGAAGGGGACTTTCCGGTTCCCAAGGGCTATCTGCTTTCGACGTTACCTCAATTCTCTCCGTCATTAGCCGTCCATCTCTCCAGTCCAACCATTTTCTGCATCGCACTCAATTCGAAACGCGGTCCTCCCCATTATCTCCGGGATTGTTGGGGAACCCTGAGCCGCCAATCGTACGCTCAATTCCCAACCCAGCCGTTGCACGAGCTTGGGGCTCGGATTACGTCTCCTGCGATCAATCACGGCGTTGCTTGGCGTCGGTAGTCCGGGGTGCGATCTAATCTGAAAAGCTCTATCGGGACAAGCTTGGAAATTCCATCTGGCTAGGTCACCCTATCGTCGTGCGGGGAACAGTGATCATACTGTCACCAAGCCCTTATTCTAATTGTATATCATTCTCGCCCCTGCTGCATGCCCAGTTGAATCTGGCCAGAGCATATCTGAATTGCATCTGCTTCTGAAGTCATGGGCAACATTCATTCGAGCAAAGCCAAAGACGAGACCCACCGTTCCAACCGCCTTTCAAAGCCCCTGACAAAGAAGTTCTATGTCGGCCAAAGTTCTGAACGGGAATCAGACTCTCCAACGGTCAGATCAGGGCTAATAGGATGGCAAAACCCTTGGGTTGGCAACACTATCTCCAGTGCCCCTGTGGAGAAAAGGGGTAGCTATCCCAAGAAAGCCGAGATCCCACCTACCCTTTTTGAAACAGAGTCGTCCGAAGAGACCCCGATTGAGGATCGAACGTTTATATATGAGCAGAGTCCAACGCAGCGTCATCCGACCCGTCCAACCCTGTTGAGCGCGAGCTCTTCGAGAAGAACGTCCTACCAATCGGAAGCCTGGGAAGCATCTTCCCAACGCTCGCCTCTTTCTGAGCAGCCACCAAGGCGGGCCAGTTCGACTCGAATTCCCTTACGGAGACACAACAGCGCTGTTTATGAAAACCACATCGGGGATGCGACATCCTCCAACACCCACTTCTTGGTTGGCAACCAACGATTCTCATTAACGCGTCGACGATCGCTCCTGACACGACCCGGGGTTGCCACAAGACGAACAACAGGCGCAATCCGACGCGTCCCTTCGCCCATTGGAGAGCCTGAATGTCCGATCGAGGATCCGACGGAGGTAACCGTTTTGCAATGGCCATTGCCTTCGACCCAGCGATCGCTGCGTTTGCCATCTCCGGCGCGTCCGACGAGTCCGATGGATGCCCGATATACTCAGCTCGGGGCACTTAAGTTGGGGTCTTTGCGAGTTGTAAATGGTTCGGCCTCCCCATGTCCGAGCGACCGAATTCCTTTGGATGGGCCCGGCGCTCCAGGCTCTGGACTTGGGCTTGAGAACATAGAGGTCATAGGGCCAACCAGGAAGTCCACGCTGGAGATTACGTCCCTGCCCGACTTGAAGAAAGTGGACGATGTTCCAGGCAGTCCATTCTCTTTCGAAAAGTCTCCTACTATCACAGTCCACCCTCGGACAAAATCACTGTTTCCTGGGGATTCCGAAGATGAAGGAATTCTCCTCTTCGACGATACAAGAATTCACTTGGAAAAGGGTGCTCTGGACGCTGGTCTTTCCCGGAGCACTTCTCAATCCCTCAACAAGTCCGACAGTGGCTACAGCTCTGCCACTTCAGTCCACTCCGTACAGCGGAGCCGAACTCACAGTTCTGCTGACTCACAAACATCTAGCTCATGTGGTGCAGACAGCTCAAAGAACGTCTGTATCCCGAGGCCGAATCGATCGAGCGATAAATTGCAGCCTTCCCTGACCTTGGTGACAAAGTCGGAGAACTACTCAACGCTGCATCCAGCCACTGCTCGCTGGTACGATTCAAGCGACCCGACTCACCTCGCTCCATCGCGATCGCGTCGGTCAACGTTGTGTGCGCCCCGATACACGGAATATTCTTCGCGCGACTCGTTCCTCGAAGTCAAATCCACCTCCCTGGTTTATGTTCCACAGTGTCAAGGCTTCACCAAGGGGCCTTTCTATGGAGATCGATTGTCTATGGAATCGTTTGATCTTGCGTCTAGTACGGGGTCTACCATAACCGGAGAATCACCACTCAGTCACCAACAGCACACTACTGAAACGAAGGAGCGACTTCGCAGGTCGGCCTCTGAATATCAAATTAATGAAGAGTACGCTACACAACTCTCTCGGTCCAACAGCCAACTGGGAAGCATCTGGAGCAAGAAATCAAGCGTTGAAGCTCCCCCGCTGCCCACCATCACGTCCCCAGGCTACTTGCAGGACGACCTAGACCTTGACGCTGAATTGTCTCCTTCCGAGCCGATGCGAGGCCGGCCTCGAAGCCGGAGCAATGACTACCGCCGGAGGTTGACGAATGCTCGCCAGACAGATTTGTGCATATGATGACCTCCCCATCTTCTGTTTATCCATCTTCTGTTTATCGACAATTTTGGTAATGATTTTATTAAGTTTCCTGTCTTGGACGTTATTTTTGATTTTGTCTCTTTTGCCCATGGCGTCAAAAGTTCATTTTGGAGTTGATGTGTTTTTTTTACTTTGGCGGGAGTTTGGGACATCTGGATATAGAGTCTTGTTAGGTATACCCTTTTGGAATTGGATGGAATTAGTGTCTCCTCTTGCGTACACAAATCCATGAATTCTGTCTGCCGTATGCCATGTGTTGTTTCGTAATTTTAGGGTTTTCTTGGCCATTTAGTCTAATGCATGCGTGGGGATACCACCTCAGTCTTTCACCGTGTGGCTAGTTCGGTGGCTCAGGCCTTTCCTGGTCATTCCTGCATACGAAGTAAGGTTATCTAGTCAAGCAAGGGACTTTGATTTAAAAGAACAGACGCAGGGTCGAAGTAGCGAGGTAAGTTCTTACAGCCTAACAAGTGCCATCAGGTGCATATTACATGTCTACAGACGGGATAGCAATATAATAAACATCGATGTAGATTTATTATCGTAACAAGATTCCAATCAGATCATATCAGTAAACTCATAGAAGTAAAAAATAAGTAAAAATGCAAGGAAGGGAAAAGAAACGCCACCCGGAGATCCCAATGCAATCAATTATACAAGCGCATAGCTTTCAAAGCCAAAGCAAAACCACTCGATTCGATTCCAAATCAGAGAATGCGAATCTTCTTCGGCGTAGGGGCAGCCTCTTTCGGCACAATAACCGACAAGACCCCGTTCTTCAAACTAGCGCGAACAGCATCCTGATCGACGCGCGCGGTGAAGCTGAAAGTGCGCTGGAAGTCACCGATCGACCTCTCCTTCGCCCAGAAGTGCGGCTGGTCGTCCTTGGCAGCGTGGGAAACCGCATTGCTGGAAGCAGCGGTGTCGGTGGAGCTAGCAGTCGACGCTGCGTCCTCGTCTTCGACGGTGGCTTGGTGCCAGCCTGCGGCTGACGAGCTGCGGCTGGAGCTGGCTGAGGCTGAGCCGTTGTTGGTGTCGTCACTGATGTACTCGCGGTCGGTGTGGCCCTTGATCACGAGTGTGTGGGGATCGGTGAATTCGATCTCGATGTTGCTCTGGTCCACGCCTGGCAGTTCGCCGTCTAGGCGGTAGGCGTGCGTCAACTCGCGCACGTCAAAGGCGGGCATGAAGGAGGTGGGTGTTTGGATTTTGGTGCACTGTTGGATCTTGGTGCATTGGTTGGGCTTGGTGCATTGGCTTGACTTGGTGCACTGGTTGGGCTTGGTGCATTGGCTTGACTTGGTGCACTGGTTGGACTTGCAACATTGGGGAGACTTGAGTTGGTTGGCAAGCTCGTGCTCATTGAGGACGAAGAGGGGCCCAAGGCCGGATTGAGTAGTGAAGAAGGCCATTGTAGATGAGTTTGGGATTCTTGGATTGAAGATTGGAAGAATGATGATAGATGATCTGAGAGATTGTCTTGAATATTGTGTTCTGTTCTAATTGTCCTGGAATATCTGCTATTTTATATGTTCTGCTTCGTTATAGTTGATGGTGGTTGCTATACTTCCGGAATCGTCCAGAAACGGATGGCACATTCGACCGGCCGCCAGCAACTTCCACCAACTTCGAGAAACAACCACTTGATTCTATGTATTCCGTTACATTATATGCTGAATACTACTACTCTAATAATCTGATAAATGAATATTTTAGACAGCATGAATAATGTGTGATTGGTAATTACTCGAAACTTCCAAGGGCTGATAGTACCGGTACGGAGTAGTCATCGAATATATGTCGTACATACAACATAGTTAACCAAACTAATTATGTAGGTAGAACATGACAAAGCTTTAATGACTGATCATTCTATGATATACTATGACATACTATTATACAAAATGCTTCCAAAGCAAGGCCTCGACCATATCAGACATATTGCCTTTCGCGCAACATGTTAATGTTCAACATGTTCGCAGGAATTCGGCCTGGAACCAACGATGCTGGAGATCTCCAAGTCTATTCCAATGAGTAAACTGGTAAATATATGAGGCTGAAAGACGAAACATACAAAGCTAGCGTGTAGGCACCCCGAGGAACCAAGATTCTGGGGTTGGCCCCATCCGCTCATCGGATATTGCGGATTCCCGGGGTAGCATATAACTCGAGCTGTCGATGACCTTTGCGCAAGAGATATTCCACGGTATTAAAGTCCTTCTTATTCACCGCGATATATTTTTGGAACTCAGCCCTGTATTCCCGTATCAGCCGGATTGCACATATCTAGGGGAATGCCCGTTTGGGGAGAGAAAAAGGAAAGGAAATGACAGGGAGATAGGCAGATAGGCAGATAGGCAATTGACAGAGCCTTACCGGGCATAGTTCCTGAAATTGATCCTGGAGTCCTACAATAGAATAGGTTATCAGCTGAAGTGACGTGGACGAGATGATGATAAACCCACCTCAGGCTTATTCCGGATCTCCCGTAGGCATTTGCGGTATAGAGACAGGACGTCCCTCTGGAGACCGGAGAACCGAGCCATTGCGAATCTCGATTATTATATGAAGAGGGAAAAGGCGTGGAAATCATTGGGTGGAGCTGGACATGTTTCCCGCTGACAAGAGAGGCCTTTCCCGGCCGAATGGCGGATTACTATCACTTCGTCACCGTCTCCCCTCGAACTTCCAACTTCCCCATATATTCCATACTCCCCAATGTCTACCTTTACTGTGAGTATCTTAGAATAAAAATATACATTAAATCAATTACTGCATCAAATGCTGATTTCCTAATAGCACCTCATCCGCTTCCTGGCCAAGGATGGCCAAATCTACTACGGCGATGCTATCCTCCCATCCGGAGTGAGCGATATCGCCAAAGCCACCAAGGCCAGAGTCATCCAGGGCGACATCTTTGGCCAGTACCGGATCACCGACCAGGTGGCAGAGGTGCGCATGCCCCTCGCACCCCTGGCCCGTAAGGATATCGGCACAGTCCGATGCCTGGGTCTCAACTATGAGCAGCACGCCAAGGAGGCGAACATGCCTATCCCCAAGTATCCAGTGCTGTTCTACAAGCCCGTTACTTCGGTTTCCGGGCCCGTAGACGATATCCCCGTGCCCCAGCTGGCCCAGGAGGGCGAGGGCCTGGATTACGAGTGTGAACTGGTCGTCGTTATCGGCAAAGAGGCTAATAATGTCTCCGAGAGCAAGGCCCTAGACTACGTCTTGGGATATGCTGTCGGTAACGATGTCTCCCACCGCGATTGGCAGATCAAGCGGGGTGGTGGCCAGTGGGGACTGGGTAAGGGCTTCGATGGCTGGGCTCCGTTTGGTCCTGGCATCGTTTCTTCCAGTCTGATTGCCGATCCGAACAACTTGGCTATCTCGACCAAGTTGAATGGAAAGACTGTCCAGTCTTCCTCCACTAAGGATATGATCTTCGGCGTCGCTAAGACGATAGCTTTCCTGTCTCAGGGAACTACACTCTTGCCTGGAGATCTCATCTTCACTGGAACGTGAGTTACCCTGATGAGCAAGCAAATGATTTGAATTTGATAGACTGACTGCTTTACAGACCCCAAGGCGTGGGCATGGGTCGCAAGCCTGCTTTGTGGCTGAAGGACGGCGATAATGTCGAGGTTTCGCTGGAGGGCGTCGGATCCTGTGTCAACCGCGTGGTCTTTGACAAGCCTAAGGCCAAGCTCTAAATTTATCTCTCTTGAACTTGCAGTAGACCAATGATATAGTTGGTACTGGTTCAAGTTGTATATAACTACCTGCACATCTCAGTCATTGCAATTGATCATTGTGGTTATTTAGACCCAAAATTATCTCTGCATCCGTAGTCCCGTGTGCATTACATGTAAAAGAAAAACGTAAATTAGGATCTAAGCAGTCTGGGCGCCGTATCCCCTGATTCTCTCGGCAAAGGCCCAGCTCTGACCCTGAATCTGCTCATCCTCCTTCAGATCAATCCCATCCTTCGTGATTACGGCTATCGAGTACTTGTCGGTACTTCGTGCATCGCGGTAGAACAGAACCTTCAAGCACTCCTTCAAGGCATCAACGGCGTCTTCCTTGCTGACTTGTTCGAGGGGGGTACCCTCAGGGAACTTGCGGCGCAGGATCGGGACCGCAAGATGAGCACCAAATCCTGTAGCGAGATGAGGAGCAGAGAATGTCGTCCCGAGCAAATCTGCCGAACTAAGGAAGGGCTCTCCCTCCGCATCGAAGCCTGCGACAAGCACATGGTTCCAAAGCGGGTTGAACTCAGAGCGTCGTTTGTAGAAAACCTTCGCAAGGTACGTGTGCAGGTTCTTGGCGTTGAGCATGTTGCCGTGAGGCGAGTAATTCTCCTTGATATCCATGGAGTCGAGGAGACGGTCGATGTATTGCATGTCGGAAACGTCACCGCCAAAGCCAACCATTGCCTTATCGCCGAAAGTACGCAGACGCTTCACATCGGAGAAACGAGCCAGGGATCCGTAGGAAGCTATATTTTCACAAATCATATCACGTCAGATGGGAATGCGAAGGAAACGGAACGTGACAATGGAACGGCATACCTAGGTTGTCGGTAGCTATAACGACTCCGCCATTAAACTTGACACCCACCACTGACGTTCCCGTCACTGCAGGGGATGAGGTATGGGCCTTGGGACCTGTGGTCTGCAAATATGAGTGATCGTAGGCACCGTAGACATCGTTCCTGGGCTGGACGGATAGTTAGCAACAGAGCAAGGAATGGGAAAGTTGTGCCACCTACGCGACCCCAAGCTTCAGGTGAGTGGTTCATGATGAATGGAGATAAATGACAGTTTCAACGGTGCTCGAAAGGGAGGTATTTTGCAGACAAGGAGGGAAGACAACAGATGGATAGCACGGTAGAATGATGACGATACTCCGTAGATGGGGAGCTAGTTACCTTAGGCAGTCGAGCTGACGGAGAGCTCGGCTGACTAAGCTCCGCGTTCACCAGGAGGATGTAGACTATAACTACAGCTGTTATACTAGTTTAGTAGTTATATCCTTTAATACAAATCTTCAAGAAAAATGAAAGCAAATAATTGGCTATAATAAACTCACTTCCAATGTCTATACATGTGCTTCTGTCCATCCCGATTTGGTGCTCGTATTCGCTTCCGAAGGGTCAATCCCGCCTTCTCTGGTAAAACGTATAAAGCTCGTATAAAAGATGTGACCTCCCTCCATTTGACAATATTTAAATAATTGATATCCATAATTTTATTTCTAAATCTAATGTCTTCTCCCGATTCAAGTCGTGCTGGATCAACGGCCCCTGCCCCTGCCGTTGACAATGGCCCTTCACGCGTGTATAATATCACCAACAGGCTCTTCCACAGGCACTACGACATCAACTCGGCGGATGATCAGCCTCTGTTCTACGGCGAAGTATCTGTGTTCACTCTCAACAAGCCTGACCTTACTCTCCATGCTGGTACCAGCAGCCAGGCCCCAATTGTGGCCGTCTCCAAATTCCGGAAGTCGTCTGGTGGTTACAAAATAGGCATTGGAAACCCCGACGATGTGACCGCCGTCCAGTGGGAGGATATGACCAAGGAACTCATCCACAAACCAAAATACCGGTTCGAAATGACAGTCCAGTGTGGATCTGACCAAACTCAGAGCGGGAGACGGTCATTCCTGTGGAAGCGTACACGCACCGTTGGCGTTGAGGATTCAGCACCGTCTAAATGGACCGCCCGGAACTATAAGCTCGTGGATGAGCACACCGAGCATGTTCTGGCCGTATTTTCAGGTGCGAAACTGGGCAGAGGTGGGAAACTGCAAATCAGAGTGGAATACGGAGAAGACTTTGATCGAATGGTGTTGGTTTCTTGTTTAAGTTTGTATGAGAAGGCGAAGCGCAAACAGAAGGCATCTAGTGGTGGTGGTGGCGGCGGCGGAGGATGTTGAAACAAGCATCATTGTTGCAATGTATGATCCACAAGTATGATAATGTACACGAGTCTAAGTGTGCGCTATGTCAATTGAGAGGGTATCGTTGATCCTCTTTCTGGAGTCAGTGGATCGACCACCAGTATGTTTCTCCAAGATGGGCACATAATCTTGAAGGTATAGAAGAGCCCTCCTTCTTGAATCGTAGGATACCAAAACGGAAGTTCCCATGCCCGGCAGGCAAATACTGCGCTACCGAATATTCGAAGCAATCAAGTTATGTGCTGGAGCCGCCGTTTGAGGTCATAATCTCTAGTGCTCAAATTTCCGGAAAGATCTGATGCACCCGAGACCATGGTAGATCTGGCATACTGTAGGGTTGGTATTCTTGGTCCGGTTGCCGCTGAATGAATCTTCAGGCAGATCCAGTGACAAAATCAACCGAGCTTCGCTGGCCCGATGTCTTTTTCTCCTCTGATTGTTTACGGAAATTTTGCTGGGTTCTCAAGAGTTCCTCCTTGAAACCCCATTTCGGTAGATTGGAGGGATTCCACAAGTCGGTTGGCAACGATGTGTCATATTGCGATTGCTCATCGATCCCGGCATGTTCCATCATTTTCTTCAGCAAGCTTGGATTCTTAAGCGACGACGAGCTGGCCAATTTTGAGTTGAAGTGTACGCCTTGTTTTTTGAGCGCGAGGAAATGCTCGAATTTCGCGTTCGCGGCTGGGTTAGGAGACCCAGGAGGTGATGGTGGAATGTCTAGATTGGGAACCGGGGGGAGAGTAAGGTCTTGAACGAGTCCACGTGAAGCCGAAAAGGGAGATGAGCGTCCACTTGTCGAATGCTTGTTCTCCGAGAGGGGCGCCATGTCGATAGAAGCGGGGCCAAGGACCGGTCCTTCTGGGACAGAATCGGTGGCTATGTAAAAGCGTGCCTCTTTTGATTGTTGGTTGGACGGTTTATGATCTGAATAAATCGTCAGCGCCAATCGTCGGAGCTAGTCCCGGAGAATTAAGAGGCATGTTACCTTCGTCCTGGCTAGCTTGTAAGGTTGTAGGTGGAATATCCTTGTTACGCTGTTGCTTCAAATCAGCAACTCTCCAATGCCGTTGTTTCGGAGCTGAAAATACCTGAGAATTGGGTGAAGGACCATTCTGTTCTACCTCATCCTCACTGTTGCTCTCATAGTCACCAAGACCAAGCATCACGTCGCAATTCGTCCTAGGTATAAGCGTTGAGACCGAAGGAGATCAGGATAACACTGTGGTAAGATCCAGAGATATGGACAAGTTTATCTTTCGAACGAGAGTATGTCAAACTTAACATGCAGAAATAAATGAGGCGCCGTAAGTATCGAGAGACAGCCCTCCAGGGCTCTCGGGGAGCTTGGATATTCCTTACCTAATCAATAGAAGGCAGCTACCGCATCGCGTCAGACACCCAGCTTCTTTGCTCTCCATCCTCCAGAACGCCCAATCTCCAGAATCCTCTACATCCAACCCTTTAGTCTTTTTTATAAAGCTGCCGTTCTGATATTTCCTCCCGATCAAGCTCCATATCCCCGAAAATGACGTCGCTCATGGGTAACCAGTCTGGGACTATCGGATACTCTTTCTCTGAGCCAACATCCGCTAATGTCAAACAACACTCGTTCTACCCGTAAGGAACAACTCGATCACTGTGCAGGAAAACTGGCTAACAGTTACACTAGTTACACCGATAATGGCGGCTCCACCCTCGGCATCACAGGTGCTGATTACGCTATCCTCGCTGGCGACACTCGTTCTACATCAGGCTACAATATCAACTCTCGCATGGTACCCAAAGTCTTCAAGATTGGCGGTGATGATGAGACCGGCGAGGGAGCTAGTATCATTCTTTCTGTTGTTGGTTTCGCCGCAGATGGAAACGCTCTCAAGGAAAAGCTGGACACCGTGGTGAAGATGTACAAGTACCAACATGGGAAAACCATGTCAGTGGGAGCATGTGCACAGCGATTGTCGACTATCCTCTACGAGAAGCGGTTCTTCCCGTACTACGTACATGCTATTCTGGCTGGTCTGGATGAGGAAGGCGTGGGAGCTTTGTACAGCTACGACCCGGTGGGTTCTTACGAGCGGGAACAGTGTCGGGCTGCCGGTGCGGCATCCAGCTTGATCATGCCTTTCCTGGACAACCAAGTCAACTCCAAGAACCAATACATCCCAGGAAGCGGAGAAGGACATGCCCTTGTGGCCAAAAAGGCCGAGCCTCTGGATAAGGACACGGCCAAGAAGCTTGTACAGGATGCCTTTACAAGTGCCGTGGAGAGACATATCGAGGTTGGCGATGGTTTGCAAATTGTGATTGTTACCCGGGAGGGAATCGAGGAGGTGTTCCACGCCCTGAAGCAGGATTAGAGTGTAGGACATGGTAGATCGTGGCCTTCTTATTGGGCGTGGGGCTCATTTTTGATCAATGATCATAAACATAATTGAGATGAATGAAATTTCCATGAATTGATTGATATATTTACGTTAAACGTCGTCAAGCCTCTAAGATCAGAAAAAGAAGACAGCTTAAACCTGATGCACCTTGAACGCCCACACCATGCCAGATGAGATAAATGAGTCGTGGAATCAGAAGCGTTCCTTCATTCGCGAGGCGACGGTCCGAAGGTTGCCATAAACCTTGCCCTATTTTGTGTTAGAAGAATTCCTTTGAAGATTTATATGATCAAGTCTTACCGGAGGGCTACCCAGAATCAAGCTGACAATTGCCTCTCGGGCAATGTGAATGTTCTTGAATCCACCGAGAATGTGAATCTTCTGGTCTGCAAGTACCACTCGTGTCCGGCTGGCATTTTCGATTGCAAACTTGGTCTTTCCGTCCTTGCCTGCAATACGTCCGATGGCACGACCGAGATGTTCTCCGTTCAAAGTCTTCACATCCTTGATCTCGAAAGTCTGGATGTACAGATCATCAAGTCGGAGAAGGGCAATCGCATCGTCGAGATCGAAGCCAAGAGTGAAGGCCTTGACGAAATCAGCACCTTTTTGCAGAGCTCCCACATCGGTGGTAAACTTGGAGGTTCTCAATTCTACTGATCGGGTCTTGATGTTCATTCGCACTTGCAACTTGAGGTGCTCGACGATAGGAGGGCAGATCTTGGCCCAGCTCGCTTTGAGCGGGGTCATACGGTGCGGTGGGACAGGCACCTTTCGTGTCTCGATCCGATATGCGGCGGCGACGTCCTTGGCCGGGGTGAAGACAGGGCGACCTTCCTCATCGATGCGCATTTCGGTGTCCTCCGCAGACTCGGCGACGGGGTTAATCGGAGCGCCCTCGTCCACGGCTTGTACATCGATCAGAACTTCATCATCCTGATCTATTGATTGTCAGCCTTGAAAATAATATTTGCAGATCGGATCGAGTACTCACCATGAGAGACAGTCTCTGGCTGAAACTCTAGGGCCTGCTCTGGCTGGCGAATAGCTGTAGGTGCCGACATTGTGTTGCTTAAGGAATCAAGTTTTTTCCCTCATAAAATCTGTTATCGTAAAATTTAATCAGTTCCCCCCTCACGGAAAAATGAAGTGTGGGCGGAAGGGAATTTTTTGCTGCAAACAAGACAAACTCCGATGATTTCATTCGGGCTCCTCGCAACTCTTGCAAGCTTTCAAGCTTCTTGTCAACAAGTCAACTGCTGTTCATGATACAGTGTGCCTGTCATATTTTCGTGTCAAGTTTCTCATTCATGTCCAGTATGTAAAGACAAACATGTCTGCCAATCTGGGACGCCGGCTCTATGCCCATATCTGGGATACAGCAAATCCATTTCTTGGTCGCATACGAATAAATCGCGTATCGGCCTCCGATGCTTACGCCTCAAGATCATTCCTCGATTCGTCCCTTTCAAGCCACTCACGACGCATCTCGACGCTCCCAACAAAACCCACGCGGTTCAAAAGATTCGCTTCCGGTGGCTTCTTGGTCCTCGGCGTCTCACCTACCTCAACTGCTGCGGACAATACCGCAGCATGCATCATCTCCTCTCCGAAAATCGCCGCCCAGCATGTCTGGAAGCGAACTTTACACACCTCGAATGACCGTCGACGCGGGAAAGCAGCTTCGCAAGACACTCATGAACGCAACGAAAATGACCATTCCCAAAAACCCGGCCAATCCGGCAAAGATACATCCACCGCACATTCACAAGTCAGCCCACCCAAAGATACTCAACAACCAACAACGACTAATCGCCACTTAATGGATCGCTTACCACATATGCCTCAGCTACATCGGCCAACCAAGGAGGAGCTTTTAGCTGCAGCAACTGGGTTCTGGTCACGCCTCAAAGTACGATTCAAATGGTTTTCTATAAGAAGTGTTCGTCCTTACAATATGGATGAGATAACTGCCTTATTCTCGTGGGTTTTGCTGGGTCACATCGTCTGGGTTGTCGTGGGGACTACCACTTTCTTCTCGCTCCTGATCCTTGCGATCAACACAGTCTTTGCTCAAGGTACATCCATCCACTTTATGCCGCAATAAGGTCTGGATACTAATGTGCTTGAATAGAAACATTGGCGGGGTGGGTGGGTAACTATCTTACCAAGTCTTCTGGAGTCAAAGTTGTCTTTGAATCTGCAATCGTGCCCAAGTGGAAAAATGGCGTCATCACCTTCAAGAATGTCTTTGTGTCGAAGCGACCAGGCCAAGGCACAGGCCATGTCAGTAAGGGATCTCCGAAGTCTGCGGCGGCTGCAGCCGCAGCTCGAGGTGATACTGGATTAGAAGATTTTCAGGTAGTATCTGATGAAGAGGAAGATACCAACTACACACAATTTGATCTGTCGATTGAGACGGTCAACGTGACATTATCATTTACCAAATGGCTCAATGGAAAGGGCCCACTTCATGATGTTGAGGTGAAAGGTATACGAGGTGTTGTTGACCGCCGCCACGTTTACTGGCCGGAGGAGGACTTGGATCCTAAATCCTACCGACATGAGCACCTTCCTGGTGACTTTGAGATTGACTCTTTCAAGATGCATGATCTGCTTGTCACCATTTACCAACCGGACAACTTCCGGCCCTTCTCCGTGAGCATCTTCTCGTGCGACCTCCCTCAATTGCGGAAGCAATGGCTCTTCTACGATTTCCTCTCTGCCAACATGATGTCTGGGTCCTATGACAACTCCTTGTTCACAATCCACGCTCGTCAAACCCATGGGTTCACGGGCCTCCGGCAGGATAGCGAAGAAGAAGAAGAAGACGGCAAGCCAAGCCCGTGGAAGAAACATAATCGGATTCGAGTTGATGGACTCAATGTCGACCACCTCAATCGCGGTGTTCAGGGTCCCTTCTCTTGGATTCACGAAGGGACAGTAGATATTGTGGCCGATATCATGTTACCTGCAGAAAATGATGAGAGCTTGGCCAAGGTGATGGTTGATTTCTATGATCGGCTAGAAACCACAGTCACCACCAATCGTTATCCGGAACCTCTATCTTCGTCTTCCAGTACAAATTCCGAGACTGAAGATCGACGTTTCATCGCCATGGATATGCGCGTGCACCTCAACAACGTTCGAGCTGTCGTACCCATCTTCACCCGTGACCTGTCTTACATCAACAATGCACTGATTCGTCCTATTGTTGCCTATATCAACTCCAAACGCACTTTTATTCCCATCAATTGCCGCTTAGTCAAGCGCGTTGGAGATTTTGATGGCAGCTGGACCGTCTTTGACAGTGGCCTGATGGATGACCTGTCAGCTGCAGTGAGTACCCTTTCTCTTTTCCTCCCCCGATCATTACTGATAAATTCTGCAGACCTACGACGCATTTGCGCGAGATGTCGTGGATGATCAAGCCCGGAAAAGGCGGTTCAAGAAAGTCGGGTTCTGGTCCCTTCAGCTGGCCGCCCAGGCTATTTTCATGGGCATGGCTGGCAACATCGCCTAATTGTATCATTCTGTACCACCTTCGACCGGCGTTTTTCTCTTTCTTTTTGATTTGGTCTGTACTATATAGTCATTGCGGTCGCATTTACAGGAGTCTAGGTCATTTTTCTAGATAGAAACCATCTCAAGCCAAGTCTGAAACCGAACTCAAACTAGTCCACTGTGAGACGATGTCCAGGCATTGCCCTGGACATTCAAAATATTTCCATCACCAACTTCCAATAGCTTTCGGTCACTTTCATGTCACTCGGTTCCACCGCAGTTGCTCCGAGTGCTAGGACGGCTTCGTACTACAACAGTTCATATAACTATTATTTTCTCATTCTATGGTGTTTGTAAAAGGCCATTATAAACGATACACTGTAATATATAAAAGAAAAGAATGATTCAAAGTGACTGGAAAGAAAAACAGCCTCGGAGTAGTTATATAGTTACTCGTGATAGTTATTCTTACTACCTTAGGTAACCCCGACAGAAAGGGATTCTGCATACCAAAGACATCTCAGATCATCTTCCTCGCTTCTTCTTCTCTTTTCCTCTTCAGAAGGACTGCGATTCTCTCATGATCGTCTCCTTAGTATTTATCTAATTTTTTGTTATTATTCTTATTGGCTTGATACCCCCTTTTCTCCCCCCCCCCCACACTGCACTTAAGCTCTCTCACCCTTTCAACTCTCATTCTCTGTGCCACAAAGGGAGTGTTCATATCGTTGCTTTCTTTCCAATCAGTTGATCGGTTAACAATACCCCCTGTTTTGCTCCCTGGCGCTTAAGCTTCAGCTTCCGGGGTTCCGCGCTTTCGCCCTTTGGGCCTTCGCCTCGTGTCGCCCCCCGAACGTGACCCCTCTGATGAGTCTCGACTCTGACAGCCATGTCGCAAATCCCGCGGGAGAATAATGAAAGCCCGCCAACTTCATCTAATAATCGGTCCGGTTTCCCAGTCAATAACGGTCTCATTCCGCGAGATTATTTAGCTCGATCTGATCAACGCCCCGGTCCTACTCCTGGTTCCCGAAATATCACACCCTCCCCGTTGCATACAAGTTCCCTCCCCCAGTCGCACCGTGTCGGCGGATCTACATCATCCGACAGTCCCCTATCTCCGAAATCCAACCCTTCTTCCGCCCAGAATTGGTCGCCAATCACTCGCGTAGCCAATGCACCATACACTGCGCCACCCTCCAGTACTGGTCAAAGCGCGTCGCAATCACCAGAAATGGATTCGGGGAATACTAGCGGTCGACCTGGCGAAACCAATACGCCGAAATCAACCCGTGCGCCAGAACCAGATCGATCTGGCTCTTCCTCCGTCAGCTCTGTACACTCGATGCCGGGTGATCGCACACCCAATCGCATCATGCCTCGCACCTCGTCAATCGATTCTGCTATCTCGTCCCTGTCCTCCAGCTCTCAGAGATCGGCCTTTGATGTCAATGCTCTGAGTTCAGCCGACATAAACAATCTCATCAATGCCGCTGGATCTGCCGAGGCTGTGATCGTGCACCTCTTGAAAGAGAAACACCAAGCGGCCTCTCAGAACGCGCAACTTTGGAAATTAGTGGACAAACAAAGGACTTTAATCCTCGGCCTTAACAAGGATCTAGAGCGTGCTTTTCAAGAGAAGGAGAAATATCGGAAGAAGCTTAAAGATATACAAGACGCTCCGCCATTGCCCGTTGCCGAGCCCTCGGCGTCTGTGACTGCACCGAGCAGTGACAAAGAGAATGTGTCTCGCAAACCTGACCAACCATCGATTGTCCTAGCTTCTGAATCCTCTCGGCGGGAGGGCTTCGAACACACCAGAAGCCCAGTCTATGCCGCCGATATCCCGTCTCCGGTAGGAGACGGAAATAACAGGATTCCGTACCCAAATCGCAAACCACCGCCTGCGCCTCTGAATCTACGACAAGCAGACAATGACAGGGCATCTTCAGCTTCCGATTCCGATTCCGGTTCCGATTACGGCGATTCCCAGGATGTAAATGGCCTTCCGAGTGCGGGTCGTGGGCGGAGAAAGACGAGAGAGCAGGATGATCAGGACCGCGAAGCTGCGCTGGAGAAGGATATGTCTGGGTCTACCGGCTCTGTGGAACCGCCTCAGACAGCATCCTCTCAGAGCTCCCGGGATACAGCAACATGTAGCCCGAGAACAGTCCCCAGGGAGCATTCTACGAGATCACCGCCAAATGTGGGTGATTCTAACTCACTGGGGTCACTTTTGGGCTCTCGGCCCCCTCCTTCTTCGTCCGTCAATGGGCGCTCTATCGCTGCTATGCCCTTGAGCCCTGGACTGCCCTTGAGCCCGAGGCCAGAAGATCGACCCGTTAATTCTCCCATGCCGCGCATGCCACGAGACTTTTCCACTTCCATGGCAGCCGGGTATCAGGCCCAGGGATTGCCGCTCTCGCCAAGAATGGCTAATCATCCCACGGGCTTTGCTCCCATCCCTTCCGGACGTGGTCCTATTCCATTAATTGATCCCACAATCATGATTGACAGCCCGAGATCTGCAAATTTCCCCGACAATCAAATCTACCGAGGTTTGATGTCTGATGAATACCAGGGCCTGCTTTTACCTCCGAATGCCCTTCCTCTGGTTCAAGTCAGGGTATCTTCGTCGCGGCTTCGACCTTCCCGGAATAGTTACATGGCGTCGAGGCCCCTGGACGAGGAGCCTGTTTTTACTCTCAGTGTGATCCTGCGGTCAGAAATGTCAGAGCTATGGCGAGTTGAAAAGGTCATCGGTGCTTTACCACAGCTGGATCAAAAAGTCCGACAATCTTCTCCGTTTTCCGGAAAATTACCGGATAGGAGCATTTTCAGCGGACACTCCCCTGCTAAGGTTGACCTGAGACGTGCCGCACTGAATGCGTACTTTGACAGACTGTTGGACACGCCAATGGACGAGAATGCCGCGCTAGCTATCTGCCAATTTTTGACAAGTGATGCCATAGAACCTCGAGACGACGAGACAAGTTTGCTGAAAGGTCTCGCCCAGACAAGGCCCGACATGCCACGTGGACCAGACGGAAAGCCTCAAAAGGAAGGTTACTTGACCAAACGAGGCAAGAACTTCGGTGGCTGGAAAGCGAGATATTTCGTTCTCGATGGACCTGATCTGAGATACTACGAATCTCCCGGTGGTCCGCACATGGGTACTATTAAACTTCATCATGCCCAGATCGGCAAGCAATCGCCAAAACCCAACGAGAATGTTCCATCTCCTGGGGCCGAGGATGATTCTGATAACCAGTATCGCCATGCCTTTCTGGTATTGGAACCAAAGAAGAAGGATTCTTCGGCACTTGTTCGGCATGTTCTCTGCGCCGAGAGCGACGAGGAGCGTGATACGTGGGTTGATGCTCTCATGGAATATGTTGAGAATGCTTCTTCCGAAAATGAGGGACGTGGCAGCGTATCTTCCAAGAGTCAGCCTCAGTCTCAAGATGAATCCCACGTGCAGCAAAAGCAACTACTCTCCGGATCCGAGACCAAGTCTAAAATATTCAACGGAAGCAAGAGATCTGGTCGAGTTGATAGTCCCGACCAGGATCTAGGAGGCTCTGTGCAGGGTTTCAGCTTTGAGGATGCAGTGCCAGCTGATCCTCCGACTATTGGTTCCAGTGTTGAGCAAGCTCCCCGGTCCCCACGAATCCCGACGACGTTGTCGACAGAATTCAAGGACACGACGATGTCTCCCGACCAAACAATGCAGTCTCCCAGATTGATATCTAGGCCCACAAACGGCACGGTCATTCAAGACCTGGAGGCTTGGGGCAACAAAGCAAAGACATCGACGAAAGAGAAGAAACGTAGTATCTGGGGTTTCCGGTCCAGGTCTTCTTTCGACCTTGCCAACCACGCCAGCGGCGATACATCAGGCCACAATGCTGAGAGGACGGGTCCTGTTAGACCTGTATTTGGTATACCCTTGGCAGAGGCCGTGCAAGATTGCGGACTGCCAGGCATTGATGCAGGGCTGCCGGCAGTGGTTTATCGCTGCATTGAATATCTCCATGCCAAGGAAGCTGCCTTGGAGGAAGGTATCTTCCGTCTGAGCGGTTCCAATGTGGTGATTAAAGCGTTGAAAGAACGTTTCAACACTGAAGGTGATGTTGATTTCGTGTCTGGAGATCAGTATTACGACATTCATGCTGTGGCTTCTCTCTTCAAGCAATATCTTCGAGAGCTTCCGACGACAGTCTTAACTAGGGAGCTTCATTTGGACTTCCTTCGCGTTCTCGGTATGTACACATTTGGTGTTCTCTTTTTTTTTTTTACTAACCTGATTGAAAAGAACTTGACGACCGTCAAAAGAAGGTCGCTGCCTTCAACTCTCTAGTGCATAGGCTGCCTAGACCCAATCTCGCATTGCTACGAGCTCTATCGCAATTCTTGATCGAGATTGTGAACAATTCCGATGTGAACAAGATGACGGTCAGGAACGTGGGCATTGTCTTTGCCCCAACTCTCAATATTCCGGCACCGGTCTTCTCGATGTTCCTCACGGACTACGACAGTATCTTTGGCGATACTGATTCGAGCTTTGCGAGGCCGGCTATGGAACTGACAGTTGAAAACACTCTGTCGCCCGATGATATTCGTTCCCCACGTCATCAAATGTTCTCAGACCTCCCTACACCTTCGTACCAGCAGACTTCGTTCCGACCCATTGGTGATGGCAACGGTCCTTCCGATGGCCCCAGGACACACCACGACACTGGTTTCACTCCAATGCAACCTAGCTATGACCAACCGACGTCTTCCAGACATGAGCAATACCACCACCATCAACATCAGAGTGCCGGCGCTTCGTATTCTTCCTTGAATGGCATGTTGGGGGCTAGCTCGGAAGACACTCGCTCGGCAAAGACCAAGCGACGGGAGAGTTCAATGCTCTTTATGGAGGGTAAGACCCAAGCACGAGAATATTCCCACGGACTTTACTAATCTGTACTGTCTATGAAGATCCTTCTTTCTACCAGGGCAAGTGAATTATCA